TAAATATAAAAGAAGAAATGAAATATAATAGAAGGTAAATTTGAAGTTGAGTATTACAAAAATTAAAGTTGTCTAATTATATATCCATATGAGTTACTCAATAATTATTTATGATTCAAAATAATCTTATCGATTGTGATAGTGTTTGAGTTATCTTCTATTAATAGAATATTTAAGTATCTTTCCATTCTGATTTCAAAGTTTATAAGAGTTATATTCAAAATAGTTATGAATATAGTACCATTCTTTACTCCAAGTAGGTTGAAATTTGTCTTCAATTATTGAATATTGTTTCATGTTGAATAATAATACTTTATTTCCAATTTCGAATATAGTTTCTTTTTGAATTTTATTATTATATCTTTGAGAATATTATAGTATCTATCTTCTATATTTTGTTGTGCTTCTAATATTTGTTGTGGTAATTGATCTACTATATAATATATTCATTGTAAAAGATTTTTTTCTTTAGTAGAATTCGTTTCTAGGTGAATAGGGATTTTCAATTCTATTGGTAATAGTGTTTGGCGTCATTAAAAAAAATTTTAACTGGTTAATTAACCATCTAGCATGGCGGTTCAAATGGTTTAACTAATTAATTACTGCGCTGATTAACTATCAAACCATTAACGATTAACTGGTTAATTAACCGGTTAAATTAAGTGATTAACGGTTAAATCATAGTGAAAATACAACTTCTGTTAATAAAAAAAGTTTGTTATATAAAATTACTATGTTTTTGTATAGAAGTCATTACTCTTTCTATAACGAACTAATAGGAAATTTAAAAATTTAAGATTTGTTATATCCAGAGTTCGTTATAAAGAGGTTTGTTATAGTCGTTATATCCAGAGTCGACTGTACGTAATTCGTCGATTGTATATGTAATTCATCGATTGTATACGTAATTCGTCGATAGTAACGTAATTCGTCGATAGTCTTAGTGATACAATATCACTGAAAATTATTTTTTATTCAGAGGCAAGTTTTCATCGAGTTCACTAATATTTCAGCAGCATCCATTTTTTCATCGATTTTGTCAATATTTTGGCACCTTGGGAATCACTTTTGATTTCGCTAATATTTCAGTGATATTAATCTCAGTAATAATCCTTCATCGATTTCAGCAGTATTGACAAATTCGACGAACAATTATTCTTGGAATTAGTACTGCCAAAATATTGGCGAAATCGACGAAGGATTTGGCACCTAGGTAATAGATTCAAATAGCCAATGCTTTAATGGGGGATGGCCTGTAACATTTAAAAATTTAGATGATATAACTTGGGTGAATTGGGCTCTATAGTATATAATTTCGGAAACCCATACCTTTATTCCTTGATCATAAATTAAAAACTGATACTTCACTTCATTAAAACACACTTAGGTTGTAAAAAATCATTATATTAGAAATTCACAAATTTATTAATAATTAAAATCCCGCACATAATCATCATTTCGTTTTACAAATAATAATTTGTTTACCACACTAGGAGAAAGACGTGATCTTTTTGGACTATAATGATTTTCCGCATCACTAAATAATCATTCTGAGGGAACAGAGGTCGCAGGGATACTCAAATATTTGTGGGTCATGATTGCTAACATGGGAAACTTTTTTTCGTGTTCTGCCCACCATTTCCAAGGATTGATATCTGGCGTAACTTGTGGCGTGATGATATTGTCCATATATGTGTAGACTTCTTCACGCACACTTTGTGATTCTTGAGAGGGTTGAAAAATTGCTGCAAAAAATGCGTTGCTTGATCCATTATTCGTGATTGATGGGCTGGCATCATATGTGTTGTTTGTTCTGGTTGTAATGTTGCCACCAGCCTATTGTACTCATTCTTTAATACTTCCCATGATTTTTCTCCAAAATCAATAGGTAATGAGACCAAGCTTTTTAAATGTGGATCCAAAATAGTCGCCAATAAACCAATATCACTTGGAGCGTCCCAATGATCGAACAATGAATTGATAATTCAGTGTTTCATCTTTTTAAGTACAGGAGTAAAATCTGGTGAGGTGTTTTCAGCAATTATATGTCTCCGGATTGTATAGTGATGAGAGGAAGAATCAGAAGGTGGTTCATATTCACCAGTATCCGAGTCAGAATCAGATGAAATTGTGCAATCTAAATTAAAGATTTATTAATTTAAAATCAAACACTTAA